AAGCAGCCCTAGGGCGCCGTCAGCTTACGGATAACCATAAGGCTCATTCACCGGGGAATACCTTGACTCGTTTGGTGACATCGGGAACTCGGATGATAACTTGAGACGATCGGATCCACATTAGCCTTGGGATAATTTAGGCACCACGCTTTCGTTGCCGCAATCACGAGTCACGCTTTTTGGCCTCCCACTTTCCTAGGAGAGTGGGAGGTGACAGGAGGCAAAAGTTTGTTCACTGCTGGTTTTATCGATTGTCTTGCGTCGAGTTCATTACTCACCTTCCCATGCTGAATTGATTTTGGGAGCCTTGAAGAGGTATGCTTCGAATTTCCAACCAGGCCTAGTAGATAGATTAGATCGCAACTTGATCCAACTGTACTGTGGACAGCGAACTTAATGCCACGACTTTTAAACGTATGCCACGCGAATCTGGGTTGCAGACCCGGGCGAGTGCAACCGCCCGGGCCGCAGCATAACTGCCACGAATCGTGCGATGCTCATATTTAGCAACAGCACAGGCCAACGGTTTGGGTCCGTCGGAAGTCTATCTTATTACTTCCTTCTCGAATTGATCATCTGGTGGACCACGGCACCGACTATCCGGCATGGCTCGGCCGCAGCCGTGATGCTCGCATTCGGGCATTTGATACAAGAATCAAAAGCTGATCCGTCTTCGAGCAGCTAGGAACTCCAACCCACACGACTTTTCATTCTTTTCTTGTTGTTCATAACAACGTTCAGTCATTCATTCGTCCCACCACTCTCTTTAAAAAAGTTACAATGTCTCGTCTCATTTCTGTCCTCCTCACCGGGCTCATGGCCTCCCCGATCTTGGCTAGCATCTCGTCCCCCAACTATCTCCCCTTCGCGCTCGAAAAGCGTGATTGCGGCTTCAGCTACTGCGACTGCCAACGAGTTCAGTGCTTTCTGGACTTCTGCTTCGACGACCATGTCGACCCCTGGGTCCTGGTCGACAGTGCCTGTACGTCATACCGCCTGAAATTTGCATACCATGCGGACTCTAACAGAGATTCGAACAGTGAACCCCTACTATGGAGTTGATTGCGGTCAGTTCGATCACTGGCAACGAAACGAGCCCGCAGAATACTGCAATAACGGTCTTCGCAAGGGCAACGGTCTCTTCTACATCAACCGCAAGTTCGGGTCTCTGGGCAAGAGCTTCACTGTCGACTACAAGAACGAAAACGCCAACGATCCCAGCCGTGGCTCCGTGGCAGCGCGTTGCTACCCTGTCCAGGACGTCCAGTGCAAGTGTCACTCACGATACAACGCTGAGAAGCACGACTGCTCAAACACCTGCGGCTAAGCCGGAAGAGACATTTCGTTTCGAAGCACGAAGACGGAGCGCGTGGCTCCTGCAAGACTTGACGATACCCATTGAAAGATTACTCTTTGAAATCACAGCTTTCGTGTTCGGGTCCGGCAGGTGGACGGAAATGTCGAAACAGCCGACCATATTCCGCAGAAATGTCAGAGCATATTACCCTCGTTTGCATTACCAGCTAGTAGCGAGGTCAAGGACTAGAGAAATATGCACAGTTTTTGGACAAATGGATTTAAATGACGCAAATGGTCTATATTCATTTTTGGACTTTGTGCCGCGCGGTTCCATGCAATCCCGGATGGCTTTGCAAACCAAGCACACGACCCTACAGCTACAAGGACCCCAACATGCGAGGCATCATTCCGTCATCTCCCTGATCTTTGCTTCGATTGCCGACAACGCGTCCAAATCACTGTTCTCCAATTTTAGTTTCATCGCAGCCTTCTTGTACTTGGTGTCCTCCAAGATGCATTCCACACCCCTCCTAACCTGTTCCGCTGTCGGTGTCTGTGTGCCCAGGCTGAGTCCAACACCTGCATACACAGCCCTCATAGTGACTTCAATCTTCTCCTCGTTCTCTCCAGCAAGTAAAACTGGAACTCCATTACTGACAGCATGAGTCAATGTTCCGTAACCAGCATTGGAAATGAAGACATCCGTGTACTCTAACATCGCGTCGTAGGGAAGGTAGTCAATGATCCGAGCGTTGGCTGGTATCTTGACTTCCGCCGGAAGCTGGGCGCCAACAGCTCCCAAGGTGGCTACAACCAAGACGTCGGGGCGGTCGGCAAAGGCATTGACAGCAGGGATAATGAGCTCTGACCAGAGTGGGTTAAGAGTTCCTTGGGATACAAAGATGACGTGGCGGTAGTTGTTCTCCTGTCTCTTCTCAACTTCAGACCACCATGAGGGAAAGTGGAAGCCCGGCTTCAGCGGCTTGCGAGGAAGAACACCGACAAATTGAAGGCACGGTGGCAAATCGGAAACAGGATACTCGAGGCTCGGCGAGCAGAGCTGAAGGACAGAGTCGTGAGCGGTGTAGAATGACCTCCATATCTTGCCATCGGGGATGTTTTTGCAGCCGCATTGCTTCAGAGTCTCGTGCCAAGCATCGTACAAGAGCTTCATGGGGCCTCTTTCCACGAGCTCGTACAGTGCCTTGTTCCTTTGGCGTCCCGACTCTGTAGAGTCGGGCCAGAGCCCTAGCGACAACGGTCCGGTGTCTTGACTTTCGGCCAAGATTGGCGAGACGCCAAATCCAATCGACTTGGGCAGTCTCTTGACTCCACCTGGAAGAGGCCGGCCATACTTGAAAGCCGTGAACCCCGAGTTGAAAACATCTTCGAGAACGATGATTTGTCGGTGGGGGTCGCGGGCCTGCAGCACTACCAGAGCTTCTTCAATGGTCTTGGCTCTCGTTGGTTGCATATCCATGAAAATGGCTTTGTATTGCGCCGCAAGTCTTCCAGGGCCCGGCGGGAACTGCGAAGCGTCGCGAAAGTTGAGGAAGACTGATTCGGTAATTGGGTTTTCGGCGAAGATATACTCAGCACCAGTTTCTTCGATCTTGGACTGGTACGCCGATGGAGAGGAGAATGCCACCTCGTACCCGACTTTGACCAAGTGAGATGCAATGGTGAATAGAGGGTTAATGTGACCATCGATGGGAAACGCAGCCATCAAAAGCAAAGGCTTCCTCGAGCCCTTGACGTGGTCGTATGTCTCAGTCACAGTCATTGCGTCAGATTTAATGAGTTGGATGAGCCTGGCGAGGATACAACTGCACCTTGTCGTGAAAAACTCGGGAGATGAGGCTCTGATGTCTCAGTATATAACATCTTCTGGGACCGGGCATCCCCCTCCCCGATGGTAAGCACTAACAGAGATGTTGCATTCATCTGGCGCAAGTCCAAGGATAAGATGCAGCCAGATGGGTATTGATAGGTGGATTATTGCGGGTCACTGCATGATGGTTGCCGTTGATGGCAAAACCACCGGCCGACCGGCTCAGGGTTCGGCATGGCCCCTCCGCCATCACAATCTTGCCTTAAAGTGTTCCTCGTGGCACTTTACCCCTCAATTTCAAAAACCCGTGACTTGGACGCTACACTAATCCGATGATGCCCATGGGCAAGCACTGAGTTGTGCAGAATTGCGAATGAATTCCTTTTGGAAAGATCTACGTCTCACGGCTGAAATGTTACTAAGGATCGAACATCAAATTACAGAACTAGTGGAAAACGATCACAGATGATACGTACATGGAATCCCACTAGAATACAATGGACATGTACTACGGTTATCTCAAGTAGCTTCCAGGGCGAAAGCTTTCACCAGCGTCAACTCTTGCCCCTTAAGAGGCTCTCAAGTTGACCGCGGGTATGGTTTTACATAGGCTTATTTGCAATATTTGGACACGTATTTCAAGCCTATACTATCCCATATCAAACTCATTTTCGTAATACTGAAACAGCATCGCGTTCACCCATGGGAACTTGTGTTTGTCTCATGATAGACACAGACGGCGATGACGGCGAGCACGACGACGATGATTACGATGATGATGACATTAAAGACAAGAACAATATCAATAGTATCAGTGTCACTGAATAAGAAGAAAACGAAGAAGATAAGTATGACAGCATAGGGACAATCAAACGCCTAGCCCTCCGGACACTTAGCCAGAAGCGACGGGGTCAAGAATCTGAGCAATCACCAGACGATCATTCACAGCTCTGCAGAGACAAGCCGATCAAAAGTCTTCATGGTGAATAAACCTGCTTAAGACGTTAAGGGAGGGACGATATGGGTGCGAGTCCGTGTTCGATGGTGGCAATGGTTTCTGTTGCCATCAGTCCAAAGCGATGGCAATGTCCGCTGAGTAACAAGAAATTGCTTAGTATCAAGGTGAGGCCGGCCCCCCTCTCGTCTGCTCGTGAAATTATGCTGACAGGCCTGCTCGACTTTTCGCACTTTTTCAAAACATAGGCAAGGAGAAGGCTAATTTGTGAAAAAGTGACCGACACAAGAGGTTGCTTTCTCCGCATTCATTGGTATATGAGGGACTCAGCTTGATTCAAGGGTTATGTTTCGGGGTCAGGTTGCGCGTGTCAATCAATGGGTCTTGAGAAGGGATACTGATTCACGCCTCCTGCTTTCTCATAACACGGCACAGAATTGAATTCTGAAGCTCAGCTGAGTTCGACTTTTGTGCGTCATCGCTTTCGACTATCTCTTGAAAACGAACGACATTTACGAGGCAAAGAGCCCGAGGCAGTTTTGCATTTGTCATGCCGACGGCTGTCACCCGAGCATGTTCATCTCACCATCATCAGCTTTCAATCACCATCGTTTCGTGTCTGAAACCTTGTTCTCTTGCACCGGTCCTTCAACCCCAATTTATGTGAAGAGTTTGCCATCTTTCCCGATGACATTGACAAAGGCACTGTGTCTGTGTCGTCTTGGCGTCAAGCTCCGGAATTTTGCTGATGACCGCAAGTTTCGATGTAAGTTGTCCTCTTCCTCCCCCACTTTAAAATGTGAAGAGAGGGCTGTGTAAAAGGTCACAGCTGCTGTCAGATCCAGGCTTAATTCAAAGCCGGCAAGGACCGCAGCTTTTGGATCTTGGGTCTTGGGTGGCTCATCAGTTGCGACGATGTCACTGATGCAGGACATGTGGTGTATAACTGAAGTCGCTGTATTCAGGGAGCTATCGAGATCAACTGCTATATCGGCTACAACACTTCGGTCAGCACCACCAACGGACCTACATATATTCAAGTTTGGGGTGGCGCGTATCGTTACCACTGCGACGTATATCGATAAGCTTTTCAGCGTCAGCCAGGACGTTGCCTTCATCAAAATCAATAGCCCCCTTGCGGCAAATCTCACGAACATGTCATGCCGATATAAGCCTTTCACTACCAACGGGCTTAACATCGGGGTGGTCGCTACCCTGGCGACAAGTATCTCCATCACCCGAACGGTGATGATGGCGAGAAAGGTGCTCAGATGGATGAGGACTGCATCCAGAACAGCGAATGGCACATTGCCGAGCAATATATCCTTACCTTCGCCAGCAGTTGAACCATCACTGGCCTTTCAAACGAAGACCTTTGCTGACGACGAACGCATAGGTCAATTTCGACCCGTTATTCTCCAAGCCGCCGACACTGGGTTTGAATCCGTTGGCATGTACTAACTCCTACGGGCAGCAGTGTCAATTGGACCGTCTTTCACAGTGATCAAGCCTGCAGCAACGATAATGGTTTCAATGGCAACAGCTGCCATAGCAATGAGACTGGCTACAAAGGCGACAATGGATACAATGGCTTTCGCCTGGAGAGCTTTTCGCCGGACGACGCGCCGATCAGGGACTATAGCAAGGGTTTTCAAAAGAGTCGCAACGAGGAGAGATTCCTTGGTGTTTTCAGGTTCTCAAGTTCGTTGCAGCGAGACTTGAATTGGTCAACTCAACAGTCTCGCCTTTGTCTTGGCGGTATTGAGGGAGCTGTCGGCTCTGTCGCCGGAGAAGCCCTCTCCACAGTGGCCAGCGCCCAGAGTGCTATGGCGAATGGCAACACCTCCAACGCCGTCAAAAGTGCTACCAGCTCTAGAGCTATCGAATGTGCTGTTCAGACTGAAGCATCTCTCCAAGCCATGGTAAAGACGGTCCGCCCGAGTTCTGAGGACCATCAAGTCCAAGTGCCGCCCGCTCAGGCCCAGACTTGACACCACTGTACCCCTTCCTGGTCCTCGCCTGACCGAGTAAGGACTTGACTTGGCTCATCAATAGGTGGTTCGCATAAATCAGGAGGGCGGTGGTCTTCAGAGGGTGGTGGTCTTCACAGGGTGGTATCGAAACACTGGCGGCGATACCGAGTACACACTCGATCCCCCCCTTCCCGGTAGCCAAGAGCACGCCACTCGAGTTGTCATCAGGCGTGTTGCTATTGCTAAGGCCGCTCTTGAGACTCTAATGACGCTCCCCAGGAAGATGCCGGACCGACTCCGCACTAAGGCCTCCTCTCACTGCGGTGGCGAAGAAGGCTTCTACGACGTGATCAAGTCCGGCGTTCAGAAGACTGGACCTGCTGTTCTGTACGTTGCAAAGAAGGCGGGGCACACCGTCATTCTTGTCATTGTCGTTGAGCTCTCCGAGAAATTCAAGGGTGCAGTCGGCGCGGAGAGCAGCGCAATTCCCTACAATTAAGGCGATAGCCACAACAAGATAGGCCGTTTCAACGCTGTTCCGCCTAAGCAAGCTATCGGCAAAACATCTGATCACGGCCATAAGGCAGTGGAGGTCAGCGAAAATTCTCCTCCTGACTTACCTTGATGGAAGACCACATTACTACCACCTTCTAAATTGGGCCCCAACGGAGTCCATGTGCTTTAGATAGTTGGCAGTCATTGTCACGTACTGATGAGACAAGGACGTCTCTCCCATCTTGCCTCAACATGGACTTTCCAGACAATGATCCCATCAACGCCCATGGGGATTCTTGTCATCGTTGGCGGTCCAATTCGACTGTGCGGTTTGGGAATGTCTAAAGCCATGCGAGGTTAGGACTTTTGCCCACTTCGATTGCCTTTTCACTTTTTTGGTGCTTGACGTTGGATATTCGTCGTTGGGGTCTGTCGTTCGTTTTTGGATGCTGGGCTAAGAAGTCGGCTCGGCTGGTCGGCGGTTCCGACCTACGGTGCCAACAGCAGGCTACTCAATCTATCCTATCCTTTAATACATCTATTCAACCCCTTAAATCAATGGCCAGGATCCTGTGACGCTGCTTTTTGTGGATGCGTGACTCGTTGACAGTCCAGGGCGGGGAAGATAAGCGATAGTGCGCTCTATCATTCGCACTTTAGATTTTCCATCACTGTGGCCGGTGATTACGATGTTTAATGCCGCCTTAAGAAACAAGGAAGGCACTGTGCCGATTTGTGGGGTTGGTTGGAGATGGAATAAGGTTTGACAAGGTTCATCAACATCTCGTCGGCGATGCCCGCACACCAGCTGGTGCCCGCACTCTTGCTCATCCCCAGAACAGAACAGTAGACATCACAAGGGGACATCACGAATACTTGGATCTCTCGAATGAGGCCCAATGACGATTTCATCATTATGGTGTTGACTGCCCGCAGGAAACACCCGTGCAGCGAACAGATGGCACTGGCCAAGCAACATCATCAGGCGCGACGGTTGTCTTGGCTCTCGAGTCAAACATGCACATCTTAAGACGAACCGATAGAGTGGAACTGCCCCAGGATATAGAGTAACCAGGCGCCGACTCCGACGGTTCCGGACACGAGTGCGCCCTACGCAAATGCAACGCTGTGAATGGGGGACAGACAGCCTCAGTCAACGGACCAAGCGGCCTTAATTCAGGTTTAAGATCACTACATGGATCGTCAAAAGCCTATTGCCGGCAACTGAATCACTGCACCCCACTTCAAGCGGGCGACCGACTCATCTGCGATTCCGATTGGGGTGTTTAGACTTTATGTTTGCTGAGCTAAAAACGTTCCGCCCGCTGACAACGTGAAGGGCCCCCCGAGCTGGTAGGCTTTCTGCAGGTGAGTGCAACGGTAACTGTGTTAGTCGGTATGAAGGGAGGGGCGGAAGGTATTCGGGCTCGTTACCACGCTGGGGCGGGAAGAATGCCTGATGGCTCGTGTAAGACAGACTAGCTCTAGTACGGACATCGGACGGCCCGTTGCTGTGAGACTTGAGACAAAGGTTGTCCGACATGAAATGAGGGGTTCGCGGTCGTTGACGACGACAACAGCTGCATTCCTGCCTTGATTCTCTCACTATGGCGAAGAAACATCAAACATCGGCTGGGAAAGCAAGGTGGGAGATCTTGTGCTGTTTCGACCGTTCTTTCACTCCCATGACCACTCCCAAGCCTGACTGTAGATTGGGAACCACGCAGTAGCTTCGGTCATCCCGTACATCCCCATATCGTTCCTCTCCCATCTCATCTCCTTTGTACCTGCGTCTAGTTCCACTGCATCCACCAGCGAATCTTGCGGCTGCTTCTCGTCTGCGAACTGCACCCCGGAGGTGTAAGGCGGTCGTCCACACCCCCATTTCGTTTGACTACAAAACAAATCGTATCCCAAGCTCTTTCTCCCGCCTGTTCGTCTTCTGCCCGTCATCCACAATGCGTCCGTTCGTTTCGCTGGTTTCTTTCCTTTCTTGCCTGGCCCAAGTTTCTGCTTGGGCACCGCGCGCCAGCGGACATGGTGCTCCAGGGCACTATGGAGGTATGCAAACGCATGACGACAGCTTCACACCCGACCATATCTTGAGGGTAACTCAACAGAACGTCTCAATTGGTTGCCAAACACGGGAGTCGGTCGTCGTCAATGGCACTCTTTACGGCCCAACACTTAGGCTCCCGCCCGGACAAAGGAGTTGGATTAGAGTATACAACGACATGGAACACCACAACACTACCATGCATTGGCACGGACTCAGCATGCGCATGGCGCCCTTTTCAGATGGCACTCCATCTGCGAGTCAATGGCCCATCCCGCCGGGTCGCTTCTTCGACTATGAGGTTTACCCTCTGAAGTCAGAGTCCGGTACCTACTTCTATCACTCGCATGTTGGCTTCCAGGCCATGACCGCCGCTGGGCCTTTGATCATCGAGGATGGTGCGGAACCTCCTTACGCATATGACGATGAGCGAATCATCATGCTTTCCGACTACTACAACAAGACCGACACTCAGATCGAAAAGGGATTGACTACGTCGCCTTTCGTATGGTCCGGTGAGACCAATGCGGTCCTCATTAATGGCGTTGGGGTCTCAGTTGACGAAACCGCTGGCCAGAACGGCTGTAAGCTGCCTATTATCAACGTTGAGCCTGGAAAGACATACCGTCTGCGGTTCATCGGTGCCACAGCCATTTCCATGGTGCAGCTGGGCATTGTGGGCCACGATAACTTTACCATTATTTCTGCTGACGGCGCGTACACCAAGCCACACTCCGAGAACATCATGCAACTGTCTTCGGGTCAGCGCTTTGATGTCATCTTCAGGGCGAAGACTGAGGAGGAGCTCAACGGAACTGGCGACTTCCTCATCCAGATGGAGACAAAGGACAGACCTAAAGTTTACCAAGGCTACGGTGTCTTGAGATACTACAAGGCTACGACTCAGATTAACAAGGCGCCCACGACTCCTCCTTTGACGTTCTCCACGAAGCCCTATGAATGGGCTGAGTACGCATTGGAGCCTCTGGTGCCCAACAACTTTCCAAAGGCAAGTGAGGTGACGCGCACCATCAACATCGACAGCCGACAATTGTCTACGCAATCAATTATCTGGCAGATCAACGGACTGGAGTGGAATGAAACCTCGTCACCGTTCCCTGGTGACAAGCCGTATCTGGTCAATATCTATGAGCAAGGGGAAGCCGCGATGCCAAACTACACAGCTGCGATGAACAACAACGGTTGGGACCCAACAACATTGACTTGGCCTGCGAAGCTTGGCGAGGTAAGCAATGCTTACTGGTTGGCGTCTGTGACATACGCTTACCAATTTGCAGGTTCTTGAGATTGTTTGGCACAACACTGGTTCCCTCGTCAACAATGGCGGTGGCGTCGACTTCCACCCATTCCACGCCCATGGTGGACATTTCTGGGACATTGGAAGTGGCAACGGAACATACAACCAAACAGAAAATGAGGAGAAGCTGAAAAACTACAACCCGGTCAAGCGAGACACAACGAACCTTTACCGATACGGCGAAAAGACGACATCTGGCGCTAACGCTGGCTGGAGAGCGTGGCGTCTGCGCGTAGAAGATGCCGGTGTCTGGATGGTATGTTTCATTCTGCTCGGCTCATCGTGAGACATGGAACTAACGAACATTCTAGATTCACTGCCACATCCTGCAACACATGGTGATGGGCATGCAAACTGTCTGGGTCATGGGAGATTACAAAGACATTGCCGTCTTGCCCCTCTTGGATACGGCTGGGTATCTGCAGTTTGGCGGCAACTCGACGGGCAACTCAACAGACGCGCCGACAGTAATGCATTTCTTTGAGGCGGATGACTAAGCGTAATCATGAATTCATAGACATATTTTGATATCCATAGAACTCACTACCATCATGGGGTTTGGAGAGCACACAGAGTACGACATCACAATCAATCGTGGACCCGCTACAGGGATCCAATTTCTTCAATTGTTGAATCATGTTCAATCCGTTGTGCACGTTTCTTGGGGTGGAACTGTCACTGGTGTCCTTAACCCAAAAGACTGACTCGCGAGCGCAAACCACGAAAATCTCAATGTTGAACATAAAACGGTGTGAGCCGTGATGCTTGGCATTGGCCAAGCGACGGGAACTTTGTTTTATTTGTTTCCCTTTACTTCTGATCGACATCTGTTCGTGATGGGAATGTCTCATTTGGTGGTGCACTGTGCCTCTAGCGCGGCAGGCATCTTGCTGTTCTTCGCTGTCTCCGTGAGTAGGCAACTTCCCTGATAAGGGCACTAACTGAATATGTGTAGGCGATCCTTTATGGTGTCGGTCGCGCCGCTTACAACATCTACTTCCATCCGCTTCGGCATTATCCCGGTCCCCGACTGTGGGCAATAAGCCGCCTTCCCTGGAACCTCGTCAATCTCAAAGGAAGCTTAGCCTTCAGAATTCGAGAACTGCACGAGCAGTACGGCCCAGTGGTCAGAATTGCGCCAGATGAGCTATCATACACCAGCTCCACCGCCTGGAAGAAGATCTACGGTCAACGAACCCCTGAGTTCTCAAAGTGCTTTGACGGCCGTGGAATCGCTGGTCCGAGTGTGACCAACTCAGCTGTTCGCAATGGCGGCATTGTCACCGCTGATCAAGAGCCACATGCCAGACTCCGGAAAGCTGTCTTACCAGCGTTTAGCGAGCGTGCATTGAGAGAACAAGAGGAAATTCTGCAACTCTACGCCAACAAACTTGTAGATCGGCTACGATCCTCCAGTAAGACCGGCGCCCCACAGGATTTGGTCAAGTGGTTCAGTCTGGCTGCCTTTGATATCATCAGCGATTTGGCCTTCGGCCAGGCCGCTGGCTGTCTAGACGATGCATCCCAGCCATGGCTCCAGGTTATCGGGACCAGAGCTCAGGGCATTGTTCGGTATCAATTTGCGATTCATTACGGCTTGGAAGGGTGGCTGGAGTGGCTCGCCCCGAAG